GAGAGAGAGAGAGAGAGAGAGAGAGAGAGAGAGAGAGAGAGAGAGAGGATGTCAGAAGGCATGGGAGCAAAAGGGTGAGGAAAGATGAGCAGATAGAAAGCCAGATGGTGACAGGAACAGATGACATGAAGAGGGGATGTCAGGCAGCATGCTCATCGAGTCTGTCCTTGTCCCTACCAGAATTAGTGGATCTTCTTGAGATGCAGATAGATCCCATTCTTGGATTTCAACACAATTCGTCGTAAGGGGACTGGGACCCTGGTGTGATCTGGCAGCAGCTCAAAGCGGAGTAGGGTCAGGGCCACACCCACCTTCAGCTCATTCATAGCAAATTGTTTCCCAATGCAGTTTCTGGGTCAGAAAGGGACCATGAAACTCAGTGACTTCTGACCTGAGCAGGGAGGAACCCCTGAAATAGCCCAGAACAGCATTCAGGGGCTACCTTCACAGGTTCAGCCAAACCTCTGTCATCATTACAAGCCATGCCCACTTCTTCCCTAGGCTGTTGCTCTTTTGACTTTGATTTAGCCTCTACGTATTTCAAGGCTACTTTGACCCTAGTTCTTTTAGGGTTATGAAGTCTGTTAGGCCAGCATTCTAAGCATTAGAGTTCACTCTTGTAATTTATTTACAAACTTAATCATTGCTTAGTTTACTTCATCCAGATAGATCTAAGGCATTGCTTTCATGGAGTGGAGTCAGATTTCAGTAGGAAAGTCCCTAAGGGTTACTCTTTTGGGGATCCTCAATTGGCTGTCCCATCTTCCTCCTAATTACGGTACCTTTAGCTCTCTAATAGGCATGTTTTGCCTTCTAAGTGTACTTCAGAAAAGTTCATTGTTTCTGCTTCAGTTTTCTGTTCTGCACTTTCTTGATCTCCCCAGCTCTCCTTCTACAATGATCCTCTGTACCTCTATCAGGTAGGGCTCTATTCAGAATCCTAGCTTCAGCCAACCTTCAACTGACTGGGTGTCCTCACCTCTTTTCTGCCCATCTCACTCCCTACTTCAGATCAAGTTGTTGATGTGTTGACAATGTCTCCTCTCCCTCAGACTGCATATTCCCAAAGCTCAGGCCAATGAGCAGCTCCTCTCATTTCTTTGCTGATTTCCCCCTTTCTTCCAGGGTACCCACAGCATAATCAGTGTGATATTTATTGATAAGCCATAATCGGCGCATGTGATGATGTTAGGAACATGGATCATTTAGAAAACTGCTCAATGAATGAGGGAAAGAATGGAGAAAGAACAAATTTTGACTACAGATATAGTTGTCTTTGTGGAATAACGTTTTGAGTTGGAGGCATAGGTAAGACAGTATCTTTCATTACCATTTTTTAAAAAATCTAACATCACACCTGACACACAGGAACTCCTTAATAATTTGTTTTATCTCAAAATAAACATTTTTATTTGGATCTAAAGTGTAATTCATTTAAATTTAAGGGATTAAAAAATGGAATGAAATACAATGAAAATTAAAAAAAACCTTCTGAGCAAAGCAAGGTGTGATGGTCTGTATGTGGATCTCAGAACTTGGAAAGTTGAGGCAGAGGGATCATGAACTCCAGGCAAGCCTGAGCCTGTCTCAGAAAACCCCAGCAGCTGAAGGCTTCATTCCAACCTAAGCTGAGTTTCCCAATACTCTGCTGTCTTCTAGTGTAAGTGGCATGATTCTTAATACATGGATGGGGGACATTCAACCTGAAGTACATCAAATGCTAGACAGCCTGTGTCTGGAAGAACAACTGACTTTAATCCTGCTCTGTGAAATCTCATTTGCTACTTGAGTAATTCATTAAGTATAGGATCAGAAAAACCTTCTGTGCACCATCTTTTAAAGCTAACAGTAAGTTGGGTCCCATGGGAGCCTTGAGGCTTTTCCTAGAAGTCATTGGATAGCTTCCAACTGGATCAATGGCTATTTCAGGATGATTTTATATTTAACTCACCAAGAACCTTAATAAATCATATGTGTTATATATAAAGCAGAGTTTTTCTCTCAAAAGTCAGTTTATTCTCCTATTCTTTAATGCTTTTAGTCTGAAGACAAACCACATAGCTTCTAAGTGTAATGTCAAGGAATATATATTATCTGTCAAGGTTTGGCCTTGGGCAGTTACAAAAGAGATGCACGCACTGAGTCTCTGGTTGTGCTGGGAGAGACTGAACAGGTGAAGGCCATGGATGTGGAATAAACTTTCCTTTAAAAGACAATCTGTAACACCTCAAGAGTCTGACTGGACAGTTGTCTAGGGCTGACACCCAAGCAAAATAATCACTTTCCACAATGATTCTAAAATTTGAGAAATACCCAGGAAGGATACTTGGCCTGGCTTAAGTGCAGAAAAAGGTATGGCACTTAAGAGTCCTAAAACTTGAAAGCTTGATGCTGACATTAAATTCACAGGATAAAATTATCAACTTAAACTTCTGCCCCTAATATATGAGAACATGTGCAAGCCTGTGGCATCCACTGACATAGAAATTTGGCTAGCCAATGGGAGGAGCAATGGGTCAAGGTCTTCACAGTGTCTCCTGCAATGCTACCCTCCTTTTGCGCACAGACTCATTTTCAAGTAGCTTTTCCCCCGTATCCACCAATAGAATATACCTGGAGATACCATGTAAGCATGAAGCCAAAAACATCAAGGTATGCTGCAATTATCCCCACAGTATATTTCATCAATATTCATAGGATGTCTTACCTTGCTCCTCCTGAGAAGGGCAGGAATGAATGACTGTGTCGGGGAGAATCTGGTGCAAACCTGGATGGGTCAAACACCTGCAGTGACATGACACCTTTGTTTGGAGAGGCAGAGGTTCCTCTCCAAGTAGTCTGCTTTCAACCCACCAGGGGACAAGATACTAGAGGTGGCAACAGCAGGTTTTGGTCTGGAGGGATCTCCCCCCATCCACCTGTGAAGCCTCCTACCTCTGGGTTTGGCCACACCTTCGGGTTGTGGTGGAGTGCATAAATGGAGAGCATGACTGAGATACCTGTGGGGCAGAAAGGAATAGGGGAGATGGTGAGTTATACCCAGGATGTGAACCTGGCTCCCAAGGCAGTAGGGGACATGCCTGCACAAAAGGTCTTGCTAATAAGCATCAGCACTATGGGTAGATGTGAGTGACTTGGAAATGAACTTGAGGCACAAAGAAGGAGTAGAAAAATAGAGTTAAAGAAAGAGAAGCAAGAAATATACAAACCTGTGTTTTGGGAGAGAATCATATTAGAACTTAGGTTTAATGAAGAATTTCTGCAAAGATGCCCAAGAATTCAGTTCCCAAAATGATCTCCTCGTTGATTTTGTGTGGCTTTTCAGGTGTGTTAATAATATTTTAGAGAGGGATTTTAGAACATTACCAAAGTAGTAGCTGACAGATGGAGTTTGACAGAATGAGGTGTGATACAAAAGGTGATCCCCTGATGTTGCAAGGGTCGATCTAGCATCTGATCATCAGTTTATCTCTGCCATAAACTTAAGTGCTTCTCAGGGACTGGACCATCTATTAATTATGACATGGGATTCATTGATTTCCTTCATTTGCTTTGATCCAGGAAAGAAACACACTTCCCTAGCCTATGTTTGATTCTTTATCTATTGCGTATATCCCATCTAATAGAATTTGAGAGATAAAGTCATAATACCATAGTCAATGATTTCTTATATGTAATTTTTCAAAGATTGAGTCATGTGTGTGTGTATATATATATATATATGTGTGTGTGTGTGTGTGTGTGTGTATGTAAAAAGTAAAACTATCAGTTAAACAAGTTTGAAGAAAAGGCCTATTCAATATTTGGGTTAAAAAATTAGGGCTGCTAATTGGACAATAAGTGATTTTCTCTGTGTTTGATGACATATGTAAGTTGTGTAGTTTCTGCAGTAGGGTCTTACCATCAGCTTATGGAGAGTAAACAATAGCCTTGGCAAGAGTCTGTAGTCATTTTGTTTTTACTGATTTATATAAAAATAGAAGTTCTTTATAGGTAAAAATTCTTCAAATTATATTAAGGGGAGAGGATGATAAAAGATGTGACAATTAGAGTTGGAGAGAGAGATGAACTGGTGAAGAACTTGTAGAAATTTCAAAACCTATGTTTGGATTGAAGAATGCACATGAAAAGCTGTGTTAGTGGCGCATATTTGTCCTTGTACTACTGGTGAACTGGGTATGGGCACCCACTGGACAATGAGCCTAGCATAATAGGTGACTTACAGATCAGTGAGAGACCTCCTGACCTCAAAAATATCAAGGTGGATGGTATCTGAGGAATGAAACTAATGTTGATCGTTGTTTTCCACTTGTATGTGCAAGCATGCACCTGTGTCCCCAGCTACAACATGAAAGCACACACATGTGACAGTGAGAACACTTGAAGGATAAAAATGGCTATATAATTACATAGTGTTATTACCTGGATTGAGCCTAGAGTATAAGAATCAAAGAATGGCAGTGCTCCCAAACTGAATGGATGCATCATGAGAAGGATACCGATTCAATACCAATGTTGTCTAGTAAAGGAGGTATACTATCAATTGTTCATGCAAAGCATTAGAATTGGAGATATTTTTCCTTATATGGGATCATTTAAGCTTATTTTCCACTTTTGAAAATGTATTTATGAGTTAGAGTAATTTATTACTAAAAAGGAAATGGGTACCCAGCAGGATTCAGGACTGTTAAAGCACGCAGATTTCTGATCCCTCCTTATCTCTGGAATGAGTTTAGGTGAACAGGCCTTGGAAACTCATACCTTTGGGTAAAGAGCGCCCATCAGGGAAAGTGACAGGTTTGCTGAGCTCTCTGACAACACCTGGGGCAGGTGGGTAGAGCCTCATGGCCTCCTTGATGCACATGGTGGTGTAGGGCATCTGGTCAAGGTGATCCCTGAAACAAGATACATCCTGAAGTTCAGGTAGACTGGAGACTAGCAGCTCCTTTCTACCCAAAAAGAAGGGTTCTTTCACCTTTTGAACTCTTACCAGGTAATGAAGGATCCATCCCCCAGGAGACTCTGAACTTCTTCCCTGCATCTCTGTTGGTGTTCAGGGTGTGTGGCCAGAGCATAAAAGATCCAGGAGAGTCCACTGGCTGTGGTGTCATGGCCCGCAAACATGAATGTGTCCACCTCAGCACGGATGTCCCTGTCAGACAAACTATCCCCATTCTCTGTCTGAGGGAGACAATAGGTGTCATCAGAGCTGTGCTTGTTCCTTGCTGTGTGCTCCCAGGCAGTCTCTCTGTGATACACACGCCTCTGTGATACATACTCACTCTGGCAAACAAGAGGATGTCCAGAAAATCCAAACGTCTCTTCTTCTTGACCTTCTCCAGCTCTCCCTCATCCTGCAGCTGATCCTTTCTCATCTTGATCACTCCATCTGTTCCAGAACACTGGTTATCACACAGTCCTCAAAGCTATAGTAACCCCATGTAGCGCCATGTGGCTCCTTGCCGGAAGCTATGTGCTATACATGGATCAGCAAGTAAGGGGTGGGCAGGTTTAGAAGACCAGCACCATCTGATGCAGACCAGAACTCTTCTCACGACTATGGGCCAAGGAATCTCTGCTTGAGATCTTAGTCGGATCTCAATAAACATTATCAATATGATCACAACCACATAGCCCTTGGCATTCTGACATTTCAACTCAAACATTTGCAGTTTGAGAATATCTACATGCATGTGACCAGGTACTATAGGGACACTGAGGGGAATACATCTGCCTCAGAAGTCATCAACAGTCCCTTTGACCTAGAAGACGTCCTGGGAAAAGAGGGGAGACGTGAGCTACAGACAGAACCTGTATGATCGTGGGCAAGTTGGCAGGCACGGTTGGCTAAGCGGTCATTGGAGGACAGACTGTAGATGGTGTCATTCTGATGAAAGATGTTTTTCACACGGGAATAAAATAGGTTATTCAAGTCCACAATGGCCTGGATGTAGGTGTTATAATTTCTGGGAAAGAAGATACAGAATAGATTAGACTATGAAGAAATCTGACCTGCAGATAGAATGAACTCTTGGATTTTCTGTTTCATAGAGACAGAGAACATTGAGGTACACATTAATTCTGTTTTATAACCATGTAATTTTCAAGACTTCTGAAGGTGGCATGAATATGTAAGCATCCACCTTAGGTAGGAATCAGTGGTCTGTGGTTGGGGCAGGTTTGGATTATGTCAGGAATTGATCTGGAATGGGCTCAGACTCTTTATTTTTTGTGGTGCAAAGTATTCATGCTGTTTCACCTCCTGCATATCAGATGAGGCCATCCCAGTAGGTGAGACCAAAGGCCCTGACGTTCAAAGGTTGCCACTTACCTGTCTACCTGGACACTACCCTTGTGGCTGAAGGCACACTTCATGATGGTGTCAAGAGTCATCAAGGAGATGTGTTGAAAAACCTCTATAGAGGTGTCCTGTGCAGCCAGCTGTTCCCATTTGTCCTGCAGTGGGAGGGGGACATAGACCTTATTTCCACAGAACACTTAAGCTCTTATACTGTGTTATTTGTATGTATTTCAGATATGTGTTTTCTATGTCCTTCAATTTAGATAATATATTCTATAGGTTGTAAAACAAATCTTAATAAAAGGACACATTTATTCTTGTAAATTACTTCAAAATAAAATCTAGGAACCAATAAGATAAGAAACAAGATTCAAAAGTATGCAACTAGTTAAGGTATTTTATCTGACAAACATGCTGTTTTCAGGGTAAAGAAGACGATGTGTCATTATATGGAGAGCTGAGCCCGACCTGAGACAATGGTAGGACTTCCATGTATAGAGCATAGAAAAGCTCAGGAAGCCACTATGGGCATGTCTAATGGGACTACCAGTGACTTCAGTTAATATTGTTTTCATCAAAAGCTTGTGGAGAACAATGTTGACAGAATCCAGAGTTCTGTTGATTGTTTGTGGTATGGCAAGTTTGGCTATGACATTGTGGATCTTGTATCTGTTTGCCTTTGAAATCAGTCAAGTCCATGCAGAATCACTGAGACTCAGAGAAACACTGACTTGGTATCATCCTAGGAAGTTCCTCTGAAGTTGAGGACGTGAAGAGGTAATTGGAGTCTCTATCTACCATGATGTTTTTGCCTTGGGCAATGAGCAAGTATGGTCATATTTTGTACCTGGAATATTTCTTTTCTGCCTATGTTGAAAGAACCTGTATTCATACTAGAATACACATGTGGAGCTTGTTGGTGTTCACTCTGAGTAGGTGAAGAGATTGAGAGAGCAAAAGAAGATTGAGGGGAGTGTGAAGAGTAAGAAGAGAAGGAAGAAGAAGATGATGATGATGGTGAAGCTGTGGTAGTTCCAGCAGGATTAGAAGCAGCCAGTGATGTAGAAAGGACAGCAGAGCTGAGGGGAGTAGAGGAAAAAAATCAAATGAACTCACGAGCATCAACCGGACAGAGTCAGCCATGGTTTTCACATAGGGCTTCAGAATGTCATAGTGGAAGGCTGGGGTTAGCATGCGCCGGTGCTGGAACCACGACTGTCCATTCAGCAAGAGCAAACCATAGCCTGGGCCAGAGATGGGTGTATGTATGTGTGAGATGGAATCAGAGAGTCATTGGTTAAAATATGTGTATGTGAGTGAGTGTGTATGTGTATGTGTGTGTGCGTGCGTGCGTGTGTGTGTGTGTGTGTGTGTGTTCGTGCACATGTTTGTTAGGGGAGGGGGCTCTTTGGAGTGGAACTGAGGATGAACACTAAGAATGGTAGAGCTCAGAACCTGAATTCCCTTGCTTGTAGGACTGGCATAGAGTCTGTGATGATTACATCTGTGAGATAAAAATTGCAAAGGAATTGGGGAGGATGTGTAGATCATTGAGGGACATACAGAATGATTAGTTAGGACTGTTTGGAGCAGTGAAGGGTCAGAAGCCTAGCTTCTACTTCTTTGGTGCTAGGGAGAGGAGGGCTAGATCAAGGCAGTGGTAACCTGTCACATTTTGTTCTCTGAGAAACAGAGTCACAGTCTTGGACGCTCTAACTTGGGCCAGACCACATTCTCCATTCAGACACACATACCAATCCAAGGAGCCAGCAATTTGTAGGCTCCATGTGCCTTTGGATCTGAAACAGAAACAAGAAATGGGATAAGTCAGACAGCTCAGAGGCAGCTGTGGTTGAAGCTACGGGCTTCTGGATGTTTTAAGAGCCGTCTGTTGGCAGGCTGTCCTGTGTCACTGTCCATTTCCTCAATCTCCTTCAAGTTCTGTCCTAACAGTCATGCTTAGGAGGACAGGATTCATGTTCCAGTAGCTGAACTACTCCAGAGCATGGATGGTGAATTGATGAGGAGCAGGCCATGTGCCCATACTCAAAGAAAAGAACAGGTGTGACTCTGTGTGTGTGTGTGTGTGTGTGTGTATTACTGTAGTCATGAATTAGTTATCCAGTGATTCTAGGCAAATAACAATTGGAATTTCAAAGTCAAACAAAAATGCATTTGAGGTGTTTTTTTCAGTCCTGGAACAATTTACATGACTTATCATCTTAATTTGATTAAATAACAAAGAAAGATAAAGACTTTTGGCTAAAAATTTGAAATTTCTGTACTGAGTGGTGTTGACCATATTCTGGGCTTTGTCCTGGGAGATTGGTTGGTAGGGTATTTACGGCAATGGTCTAGTACTGCTGTGTTCTTCAATTTGACAGGCTTGAGCTAGTTAGAAAGACAACAGCACGAATATTTCTGAATGATACACACTTACCTGATCGCCCTAGAATCAATTTTATGTAGTCTGGGTCATAGACAATAAAGTAAGCTTGGTTCCCCCATACCCAGCGTGGAAAGGCACTTGGGAAGCTCTCCACAGCCTTCATAAACAGCGGTATCTCCTGATCACCCTCGAACTGCTGTTGAGGGGAAGATAAAGAGGTGGGGCTCTAGTTTAGTTTTTTGGGCTGGAGGCAAGAGCACAACAAGCACAGGAACATAGTTCTGCAGATGCTGCCAGGTTTTGGAACATTTGATGGACCATCTGTGCTATTACTCAGAGTTTGGTACACTGGGGCCTGTTCCTGAGCTGGAATTGACAGTGCTGTTGGGTGGATCCTCTGCTCTGCGCACGAGTACCACATCCCTACGTCCCTCTAAGAGTTTTCATTGCACAATCCTTTGTTGAATTCTTCCTCTTGTATTCTCCTTCTTGGCTCTGGTTCTTATTTCCTGGGTGATAGTGCGTGGGGTCAGGACCTTCCATTCATAATACTCAGGATGCTGCACCATCTCCTTCCTGGGAGATCTCAGACATGTGTGCCTGGTTCTTGAACTGATCACTGTGGTGTAGGGAAGTGATGGCATGTTCATGAAAATTGCTTACAGTATGGATTGTGAAGGAACATAGAGAACTAAACAGACCCTGATGAAATTCTGACATAGGTGCCCTCATGTGAGGATGCTGCTCAGCCTTATTTCTTTCTGTGCCATGGATTCAGGATTTTAGTCGTAATCTACCCATCCTGAATTTTCCTTTGCAGGGGTGGGGAATCATCTGGGCCAGCTACCTGCTCATCCTTGCAGGAGAGCTCTTCCTGTGCCTGACAGCTCATGAGATGTGTGCCATTGCCACACCGAGAACCCCACGGAGCCAGGCTTCTGTCTCACTGATGTCTGTATTCCCAGGCAACCTCTGAGCTTGGGAGATAATAACCATGAGTGACTATGCAAGGAACCACATAGAAGCTGTTTGAGAACAGCAGAGGGTGTTGAAGGAGCTCAGCCTGAAGAAGAGGAGACTAGGTAGGCTCAACCACAGTCTTCATGTGCTGGGATCTTAGTACAGAGTTGGCTACAGCCAGACAGGTTGAGCCAACCTAATGCTGGAATGTGTCTCAACCTGAGCTCTGAGTTTCATGAAGTACTTGGACTTCTTATACAGTGGGCTTTGTCCTGTGAACTTGATGGCCAGTTTCTGAGACCTCCATCCTCCCTGCTCCTCCATCCTCCCTTCATCTCCATCCTCTCTGATCTCTCTCCCACCCTTCCCTTTCCATACCTTGTGTCCAAAGAACCAGTGAAAGGGTGGGGATGGGAACTGCTGGAAAGCCTTGAGTAGCCATTGCCTCTGCAGGTAGAACTGGACCGCTTTGAGGAGCAGCAGAAGCAAGCCGAGCACGGAGGCCACTTGCAGGAAGCCAGAGATGCTGCCTGTGAGTCTGGTGGGGTTCGGCGCAGAGACAGTCATGGTGCAGCCACTCCTGGGTCACAGACTGCCTTCACTTTCAGGAATCCTTTCTACCTCCTGTATAAATCCTTTAGGGCTGCCTGCCTCTCAGTGGGAGGGAGAAAGGTTAAGGTAGACTGAGCTTGCTCTCACAGCGCAGTTGGTCAGTTAAGGTGAATGATTTCCCTTGAGAGGCAGAGAAATGATTTGTCATCTCCAGTGGCCAAGGGCCAGACCTGCACCCACTTTACTCTCTTTGTGTTAGTCAAAATTTTTATTTATTTGCTATTTATTTTTCTCTTCACCATATTTTTCCATATACATTTATAGTGTCCACTGTGATATTTCAACATGTGGATGCTGCACATATTAGGTAAGCACAGTAATTATCATTTCCTTCATTATTTACCCACTCATTTTTTTATCCAAAGTTTTATTTATTGTTTTTAAAAATCAAACTGTGTTGTCTGATGTGGGATTTATCTCCCTATGCTCTGAATATGATTGTTTAATAAAGAAAGCTGGCTTGAGCCTATGGCAGGACATTGCAGAGGTAGGCAGGCAAGATGGAACTAATTGCTGGGAGAGAGAAGGGAGGAGTATCGAGAAGCCATGGAGCCACAGCCAGAGATAGACGTTCTTAAACTTTGCCTTTAGGCCACAACCTCATGGTGATGTAGATTAATGGAGATGAGTTTAATTAAGATGCAAGAGTTATCAAATAATAAGCTAAGGTAATGGACCAAGGAGTGATTTAATTTATATAGTTTCTGTGTGATTATTTTGGGGCTGAGCAACTGGAACTAACAAATGGCCTACTGTCAACAAATTGGCACCCGCAAGGCCAACTAAAATCCATATAAAACCTGAGAAAGCTTGTAAAGGTATTCTAGACACAAAAATACCGAATTTAATGGTGCGAATTTGGTTGGTATAAATAGCTAGTCTAGCTCAAGAATAACAATTATATTTTAATGGTTATAAGGGGAAACTCACGCTACAAGAATGGGAGGTCCGACTTCCTATATGTTCAGTGGGCGTTGATCAGAGAGAGCGTGCACCTGGGTCCTCCCAGTTTTTCTTCCTGGGCTCCAGGTAGCCACACCTTAACTAGATGTGACTGGTTGACAGAATTTCCCCCTCATCTCCCCGTTTTGTCCAAGCAAGATCGATCCAAACCGAATACAACTATATATAGTAGGAACAGATACCAAATATAAAATTACAAATAATATAAACAATATTAATCAAAGAATGCATAGCAAAAGTTTTACTAAAGCATTCTATCTCAAGGAGTCTAAATCTTAAATTAAAATTAAGCTTGGCTAAATCATGAGGAAGGTAACTACAATTATCTAATATTCAACCCTATAGAAGATCTGAGAAGGGAAATAATTTTACTTGAGTAAACATAAAGTGCAATCGAGAAACTTCCAAAATGTGCAACAAATGACAGAGACAACTTAACTCCCTGGGCAATCACCAAAAGTCTCATTTACAATGCTGAAGCAAGCAACTTTGGCTAAGGCCTAACGTAACTTGAAGGGCATGGTCGATCGGTAGTTAAAAATTAACCAGACTAGCTTAATATAAAAGATTTAGCTTTAATAAACAGAAGAAAGGAAAACTTACAAAACCAGGGTTCCAGCGATCCAGGAACGCAAGGGGCAAAGAGGAAGGGGCAAGAGCACCTGGATCTTTTATTTGTTTTGTATGGCCCCAGGGGGACACACCCTAAGCAGAATGTGATTGGCTGAAGTTCCCCATCAGTAACTGACATACAATTTTCAAAGGCAAGAAACTTTGCAAAACTATCTTACCCTGTCTCAGCAGGATTTGACAGTCCTCTTTTATCCATTTACAGATACTATGTATCTTTGTCAGCTTTGTGGTTGAGATATGGGCATTTCTTTGCCCAAAGGTCAGTTCTACTAAGAAGACAGCAAACTCCCAGTGGAGTGTCTTTGGTGTTCAACATTCTCTCGGGAATAGATTGGTGTTGCCAGGAGTGATTGTGTCTCACCACCACAGAGCTCTAAGTTAGATTAAATGCCATTTTTTACAGCTCTTTGAAGAGGTTGAAGATTATCTATCTATACAGAATATTATCTCTATGTATCTATAGAATCTGATTAGTCTAATTATAAATATGACAAACATAGATGACTATTGATCTACAATTCATAATACCTATCTAATTTAAAGAGTAAGACAATAAACAATTGTACAATAAATGAGGACAATGACCTCCAAATGAAAGCAATGTATAAGTATCTTGATCAGAGGTAGAAATGTATATAGCAATGTAATATATATATATATATATATATATATATATATATATATATGCAATATTTTAAACAGAGGTAGAAGCATACATGCATACAATATTCAATATAATTTAACTTTGTATCAACATACAAGAATCTATGCCAATGTAATTGTGCATCAACAATAACTCACCAATACCAATTTAATATCCCATCATCCAATTTTCCTTTTTTTTTTCCAAAAAGACCCTGAGCTTATAAAATTCCTCCCCCAACCCTCAACTATATACCATTTATAATCAACCCCTAAATGATGTCCCTAAGCCTGAGGACAAAGTTTGGTTGTTGTCCTCTAAAATTGCTTCCAGCTGTCATGGGGGTGATGTTCTTTCTAGGGGATCCTGTGAAAGTAAAATGATGGTTAAATTCCAAGATCAATGCTGGTAATATTGTAAATAGTCTCTGAGTATTTTGTGGGGGTCTGGCCAGAATGTTGTAAAAGAGGTGCACTATTTCTGCTAACCAAGTTGGGACCGTCTTGTGCAGCTGATACCCAGAACAAATCTTGTAGTGGTGCTATCAGTATCATGATGCCATATCAACCAGGTGGAGTTGTTGTGGGGCCCTGTCTTCTTTTTGGAAACTTCAGAGATTACTGTGGGAAAATTTATTGTTCATTATGGAAAACTTAAGCATTATCCATATAGATAATGAAAGGTATGATAAAGACAAAAATAGATATGAAGAAAGGCAAAGAAGTTTTATAAATTATTTTTTTCCTTCTGTCCCATGTCAGTTTAACACAGCTTCTTGCTGTTTGCTGGTGGCATGCCACAACTCCTTTAAGAGAGGTTTTCCTGATTCAGTGATAGCAGGAAAAACATTGCAGTTCTGAAATGCCAGTTTTCTGGGCCTAACTCTTTCTCGAGAGGTCGAGCTATGGAGTATTTAAATAGGGTTTGTAAGCAGTGTCTTACAAACTGCTTAATGGTTCCACATACAGCTGCTGATACTTGGAACTGGGGTGATGTACATGACTGTGGGGTAATGAACAGACCTCCTCCACCGTGTTGAACTTGGCTGAGCAAGCAGGCAGTGCCGTATTTGACCTAGTAATTCCACAGCCTAGGTTTTTAAGAAGAAGCACCTAGTATTGTTGTTTAATGCTGACATGTTCCCCGGCAGGCTCGCAGAGCAGTCGCTAGTCCGACAAGGACAGCTGTGGGTCCCTGCAAGATCTCCAGGGTGGCATGCTGGTCCTGCCATGAGGCCGGGCGAGTCAGGCAAGCGGGTGCGGCAGATGGCGGAGTAAATAAACATAAGACTATACATAAAACTAAACATTTATTACTTAAAGAAGAGGCAGAGAGACAGAAAGACAGAGATAGAGAGACATAGAGACATAAAAACATAGAGACAGAGAGAGACACGTGTGCACACGCCGAGAGATGGGAACAGAAGAGAAAGAGTTAAGATGGCGACCAGGAAGTCAGAAGTGGCGGGGAGTGGGCGTGACTTGCACTTAAAGGGACCAGAGCAAAAGAATAACACCTAGCATTTTAAGAAGCACTTCTGTACAGTAAAGAATTACAGATAAACAATAGGACATAGCTGAGCTCTGAACAAATTACAGTGTTTAAAGAATGTACATGGGCTTGGGAGAGAGAAGAAAAAGAGTAAAGAGAGAAAATGTAATAGAAACGAGTGCAGGCAGTCATAGATTAAAGGAGTAAAGATAACAAAATAAATATGAATAAGTCATAGAATAAGAAAAGCTACATAAAGATGGAAAAATACAGAAAGTCTGGATTATGAATATTATTGTGTTTTCTTTGAATATTTTGACTGTGAAGGAGCTAAGTAACCAACATATAAACTTTAAAGGTATCTTGACTTCTTCACACTTTGAGTCTTACGATATGTTGCTTTTGAAAAGAGGCTCTTCTTTTGTTTCCACAGAGGAGGGGAACCTGTGGAATTAGTATTACAGACTAATGTGGTTTGATGGACCAAGAACTCCTGAAAGGTTGCTGTGAACACCTCCCAAAAATTACTTCACCCAACTGCTGACTTTGAGAACCTAGCACATAGGGTGCACCATGAAAGACTTGATTAACAGTGCCCCACTCAACAGGAAGTAGTCTAGAGAACTATGCCCTAAATTCCAAATTTTGTTTATAAATATTTCTTTACATTTACATGAGGAAATGCTGTAGAGATTTGCATGGCTATGGATTTTGGTTTATTGATACAAATATAAAGTCAATTTTGTTATACTGTGTATATATATTTGTATATTGTGCAGCTCATTTAAAAATGTAACGTATAATTAAGAAATATAGATAGAGAATAATCTTTAATAGTCAAGCTTGTAGTCATGTTATTCAGAATTCCTAGATATATAGAGATATTTTTCAATTAGATAGATGTTTTTCAAACTTTTCAAAGACCTACAGAATATGGCATTTAAATGTTTTAAGACCTTAGGACTTTTCATGACAATGAGACACATATGATCCTGGCAGCACCAATCTACTTCAAGAGGAAGATGAACAGGCATTGGAGAGACTTCTTAAGGAGTTGGTTAGCCATTTGGGCAGAAACTGCTCTTGCCTGGACTGCTTGATGGTATGCTATGTGAACTAGACCCACAGAGAAATGACTGCTGTACTTGCCTAAAGGTGAGATGGTCCTTTGGGGTTCCTGTTACATGAAAGAGTCTTCCAGACATTCTGTAGAACACAGAAGAAAGTGACTGACAAACTGCCAATATAG